TGGAGCTCCCGGTGGCCTCCCCCCCGGCAGATCTCTGGGAGAGAGTTGGGAGAGTGCAGAAAAGAATTTCTCCTCAGTAGCCATCTCTTGTGGGGGCTGTAAGGTTTGGACAGTGTCTGTATCCTGGGTGGTTTGTAGCATGAGATGTTCAATAGCGAGTGTGCGCTGCTGCTGGGTAACAGTCTGCTCCGTGCTACCGCTGATTTCCTCCCAAAATGCCTTTAGAGGAGCACAAAACCCAAAGGGACTTAGTTGTTACTATCAAATTTCTTTCGTAGGTAGCTATATCGTGTCATTTCTTCCATTCACCAACTGCATATCACTTTAAATTATTTTTTCTTAAAAGCAGCGGGCCTTCCACTGCCTCCACCATCCCCTCCCCACCCGGGGCACCGGCAGCAAGGACTGCGGCAGTGCAGCTTTGTGCCTGAAATAATGGAAGCAAACAGCGCATCCTGTTGGTGTGAGGGCAAAAACGTCTTTGGAAAATGCTGCTGAGGTTAATTAACCTGTCTGTAATTACCAGACTTGCTTCATTTCATCAGAGCCCGTGTCTGATCCTTGACCAAGCCTGGGGTGGGCTCTGGGTTTCGCTGTTCCTGCTCTGTCCGAGCTCCGGGGTGTGTAGCGCAGGGGCTGTCCCGTGCCCGTTATGTTCCGGTATTTTCCCTCTTCAGTGCTCAGTTACCCTCCTCGCATGCTGCTGCCCAGTTTGAGAACCAGTGCCAGGTTTTCATATCCATCAAGTTCTAGGCTGTCGTTATCCTGTACGTACCACAGCCCCATGTCTTCTCTTAATTTTCTGGTTTGTGTCACAGTTGTAGCTGACTTGCGCTTCCTTTGCATTTTCGAACTCAGTTTGATTTTTCTTCAATTCTTATAAAACCCTTTTGCCTCTTGAACCCTCAGCCTTTTTAATGACTTTTTTTTTTAGTTGGTGCATTTGTTCCTTATTTGTAGGCTAGGCTTATTTCTGGATTAAATTTTGAAACAATCCTTTATTTGGTTAATTTGAGGCCTTTCTTGACAAGTGTTTTCTCTTTGTTCTATTCACAAATTCCAGGTTAATTTTTTGGTTGGTTTTTAACAACCTTCACAAAATAAATTTCAGGTGACCTCCGCACTCACGTCCCTGGTTCTTCAGTCCTGACGTTGTCTTGCATTAGTTCCCTGAGTTTATTCAGACAGAACCATTTCCAGTCAAGAAACTTAGAACCGAGATCTGTTTCGGTTCAGTGTGTCACGTCACTTTGGTCTTCTGTTTCTTCTATTCTCCAGCTTCAAGGCTGGTTTTTCGTTATGTTTCTGGGATCACTAAAACATTTTGTTTTCCTCTCCCCTATCAGGCCTGCCTCCACTGACATACAAATACCCGATTTGTTTCTGATTGCTCAAACTCTCATGAGAAGGTTGTGCAGGTCTCTGCCATCATCGTTAGTCTTGTGCCCTTCATTTTCCTCCCCGCTTACCACCATTCCTCTATCACAGAATCCCAGAAGGGTTTGGGGTGGAAGGGACCTTAAAGCCCACCCAGTGCCACCCCCTGCCATGGGCAGGGACACCTCCCACTAGCCCAGGTTGCCCCAAGCCTCATCCCGCCTGGCCTTGAACCCCTCCAGGGATGGGGCATCCACAGCTTCTCTGGGCACCCTGGGCCACTGCCTCACCCCCTGCACAGGAAAACATTTCTTCCTCACATCTCATCTCCATCTCCCCTCTTCCAGCTTCAAACCCTCACCCCTTGTCCTGTCCCTGCCCCCCCTGATCCAGAGCCCCCCCAGCTCTCCTGTAGCCCCCTTTCAGCACTGGGAGGTGCTGGAAGGTCTCCCCGGAGCCTTCTCTTCTCCAGGCTGCACACCCCCAACTCTCTCAGCCTTGCTCCAGCCTCGGACCATCTCCGTGGCTCCTCTGGCCCCGCTCCAGCAGCTCCGGGTCTGTCCTGTGCTGAGGACCCCAGAGCTGGGTGCAGCCCTGCAGGGGGGTCACCAGAGCGGAGCAGAGGGGGACAATCCCCTCCCTCGCCCTGCTGCTCCCACTTTTGTGGAGAACTCAGCTTTTTTTTGCTGTCCCCCACGCTGGTGAGCTTTGCTCTGCTGGGTGGGTAACGTTTTCTGGGTGACAGTCAGGAGCTTGAAAGTTGGTTGGTTTTTTTTTTTTTAGGTACCTAGTGCCCAAGTTTCCAAGATCAGGATCGTGAACGTGCTGTCCCTTCGGTGGAAATCCCGTGCGCAGGGGTTTGGCATGCCTGGCTTTGTGATGCCCGTTACCGCACGCCTGACTGGGGAAGGTGGGGAGAGGGGAGACAGCGGGGGTCTGGCTCCTCCACACCTCTGTAAGAAATTCTTTTCTAGGCAGAATTGGTCACGTTTTCTGCCTCTCGGAGCTCGCTGTTGGCACAGGCAGGGCAGGGATGGCCAGGGCTGGCAGAACAGCTCCAGTAAGAGGTCACTGTTGCTGTGCTGCCCAGTTTGTCCCTGCCTGAGTGTAGCGCTGCTGCCTCTGTGGAGCAGGGTGACCGCGAGGATTTGCAGTAGCACCGGCTCCAGCCTGAGCATTAACACCTGCAGCACACTGCCCAGACCTGCCGAGGGGCAGGGGAAGGGGATGTCTCAGTCCCACCTGGGGCCCCTGGACAAAAATATTCTGTTTGACATCAGCTCTCCTCGAGCCCCTTTGCCTCTCAGCTGCTGGTTTCTCCTAAGCTGTGGGCAAACCTGATTTAGTGTTAATGATCAAAATAAATTTAAAAAAAATTGGAACTTCCTTCCCACTGTACACATACATCTTCCCAGTGAGGTGCTCCTGGCTTTAACTCTTCAAAACACTTTTCTTTTTTATCAGGATCATTTTTTCTTGCCTGGATTCAGCTTCTCTTCCCCGAACTCGCATATTGGGCAATCCTCACAGAACGGCTGTGACTGCAGGCGCCGAGGTGCGGTAGTGTGTCGCCTGTCTGCCGCCTGAACGTGACTTACGGCGTTGAGCAGTCCCCCGAGGAGCTGTACATGGCACTGGGCAGGAACTTAAATCCTGCTGGAGCCCCACAAGCGAGGGATCTGGTGATGGGAACACGCCCTGGTGCTGGTGGGGTGCATGTCCTTCTCCCCCCAGTTTAGTAATGACCAGCAGCGTGAACGCATCCCACTGCCATCTCTCTAGATGGTGTTTAAAGCTCCAGGCAGCTGGGGGGGGGGGGCCAGCAAACCGC